CCCACCCCTGCCCCAGGCCCGAACTCTATCTTCCGCGCGGTCATTTACATAAGAAAGAGCCTCCGGCCAGGCCGGGAGCCTAGCTTTCAGCGCCTCCGGGCGTGGGGGTGGGGCCTGGCTGGGCCCGAGGCGCTCTCGCTCTGGGTAGAATTGTTTCAGAAATGCTCAGGGTTTCCGGATTGGCTCTCCTGGCTGTGGGCTTCAGTGAGCACTAGAGAAGAGGGGATGGCCTGAGGCGGGGTTGGGGGGTGTCCAGTGCTGTGAGGCAATGACAGAGCGTTGCTCAGTTACATACTTGAAGTTTCTGTGTTTCAGTGGGAACACATTTTTGGGAAAATGTCTTGACATTATCGTTTGGTGGGGCAACGTGCTCATACACCCATTTTGGGGATCCTGAGAGCAAAGGATAGGATGGTGAATTATTGTCCTTGGTGTTTTTAGAGCTGTGGCAGATGACCCCCAAATAAAGCATGACATCACTCAGTCTCAGACTGGAGTAGGGAGCAGAGGGCTGCTGTTTGAATTGAGTTTTACTCTGCGTATCAACGGGCTGTTACTCTCTAATTCATTGCTGGGATGTGGCCTTGCTCTGCACTTTAGTTCAGTTTATTTAAGAACATGTCTGTGACCCGGCAGGATTTGACAACTTCTTCGGGCTCCTCTGCCCAAGGAGTGAGTTAACATTTGGAAGACTGTCATCCCTTGGCAAGTCCTAAAATACAAAGCTGTAGTATCTTTCATCCTTCTCGGTTGGGCCAATGTCGCCCCAGGACATTTTGATTCTTTTACAGATTTATTTTTCCCCACTCCAGAAGGGGGGCAGTTAGGACAGGAACCGTGGAGTTGTACCACCCTCCTGGCCTGGAAGGGTGGCCATCTCTTTGGGAAGAGAATTATCCAGGGTATCTGGAAATGAGTTCTAAACTCTGTTTTGTGGTTGTTGTTTTTAAACTACAGGACCCTGAGCATGTCACTTTGTCTCTTTGGACTGTCGATTTCTTTTTGTAAAATGCGGGTGACAACAGTGGCCTCGTTCACTTTACGGAGTTGTGATGATTAAGCACAGCAATGAGAAACCGTCCTTCTTCTAGGCTTCTCTTCACTACCCTTGCAGCTAGCTTCCTTTCTGCAGGGGAAGGGTCTGGGGGACATTTGTGTGTATTTCCTCTAAATTACCAATGGAGGCAGAGTTGAGTCAGGCCTTTCATTCACCAGGTGTCAGAAACTGGGACTTTGCCTCCTGACTTAGGTGTGCACAGCTATTTGATTCCAGCTGCAATTACATGGGAAGTAGGAAGAGAATCAGAGGGAATATTTTGCAAGCATCTTTTCATGTTGCCGCTAGAAGGAAGAATTAGGAGAGAAGGAAGACGTGATTTTAATTTTAGAGTCTTTTGAAAAGGTCTTGTTTTGGACTCCTCAGAAATCTTCATCATACATCTTCTGGGTTGTAGTCTGAGGGATGGAAAACTTGGGTTCACCTGCTCAGAACTAGCCCTATCAGAGTCACTTGTCTGTGGAGGGACAAGCTCAGTGTTTTATGCCATTAGAAGGGGAGTAAGGGTTATTTGTTCATTTTTGCCGATGGACACTGAAAATCTAGAGAAACACATATAGCATGTACTGTGTACTAGGAACTGTTTTAAGCTCTTTACATATGTTAATTCATTAACATTCACAACAAATCCATGAAGTAGATACAATTATAGTAAGTCCTCAACAGTAGGCTCTATGACATTAAGTTGAATGATGTCCTATGTGGTTAAATGAAGCACAGTTTGCCTCATTTGTTCAACTTGTAACCTAATACTTAGTATCCTAATACTGTCCCTTCCCTGCTCAGAAGATAACCCGATGGTAGTAGGAATATTTTGTAGCTTTTGCTAGCCATTCATTTGTTTTGTATTATCAAACTTCTATTTCAGAGAGCTCTAGGAAGCATACTTTCTTCCTTTACCCCTGAATGAATTAAAATTCTCTCAGAGGCTCCTCAGACAAAGCCAACATTTAAAAAAAAAAAAAATTTACTTTTCAAAGTTAAACCTTTTCAGCACCCTAAGGAGTTTGAGGGCAGCAAGGGGCCCTTTTCCAGGGGGAATCAAAACAACTCAAACCACAGCAGATTTCTTGAAAAAACTTGGCAGCCAAAGTAAGGAGATCTGATGCACTAAAAGGACCCAAGAACCCAGAAAACTGGCTTCCTTTGTTCAGACGCTTCTGGTTTAAAAGACAGCTCTTGATAACGGGTTTCTCATTATCATTGTTGAGTTTTGAAGTCAGCAAGTTTGGTTTGTTTTCCAACACTGTGTGTTGTCTGTCTTTGCCTTTCCAAAGCAGTGGGAGGAAGGGGGGGATAAGGGAGCAGAGGCGGCAAGTCGAATCCCAGAGTTCATTGGCTGCCTCTTAGGATCACACTTCGTGGATCACACGGCATGCTTCCTTGCAGTCTAGCGGATGTTTCTGCTAACTTCTAAAGCAGGTCTCTCTACCTCAGTGCTATTGACATTTTGGGGTGGAAAAATCTCATGTGAGCTGCTGTCCCAGCCTATCTATTTGGGCAAGAATTCCACTCTACCCAAATGTACAGGGGCAAAAACCTGTTTTTTTGTTTTTTGTTTTTACTCTTCCTTTAGAACAGTAGTTTTCAACTATTAGTGATTTTGCCCCCCAGTGGACTTTCATAATGTTTGGAGACATTTTTGGTTTTTATAAGGCATGTGGGTCGCATTGTGTTATTGCATCCAGTAAGTAGATGCAAGGGATGCAGCTAAACATCCTACAATGCACAAGACAGTCCCTCCACAACAAAGACTTTTCTGGCCCAAAATATGTTTAGGATGAGAAACTGCATTAGAAGAACATGGTCACCCCCCCCCCCTTCAGTTTTATAGTGGCCATACAGCTAGTTAGTATCTGCAATGAGGACCATAGCTCTTAGCATTCAGTGTGCCATGGCATGGGACAGTCGTGGTGGGAGTAGCCTTTTACAAAAGATGAATTTAAGGTGAAGTTTGCCGATCCACAGCAGTCAGCAGATGTCCATTACCCCTGGCTGAAGGGTGGGTTACCTGGGTTACTGTTTTTCTGTCCTCAACTAGGAGAATGTGAGCAATATAAGTACTCCAGAAAGCCAGTGGGAGAGAAGTCTGCTCAGTCGTCCTAAGGAGAGTCTCACCCTGCTGTTGCCGGGGTTTCCAAGGAGGCCAGGCATCCGCCAGGCATCTGAACAAGGCAGGCATGTTCGCTGAATGAGTGTGAGCTCAGGAGCTTCCATAGCTGGGAGCAGAGGAGAGGGGCCATTGACACCCACTGAGAGACAGTCCAGCAGTCACTGGGAGGGGCTGCCTGGTGAGGTATAGAACCAGGCTCCCTGGGGTTGAATCCTGGCTCACCACGGAACCAGCTGCGTGCACTTGGGCTGGTTAATTTAACCTCTCTAAGACTGTTTCTTCCTCTTGTAAAATGCAGAGTGTTTGGATAACACCTTAATAGG